GATAAAAAACTCGATAACCTTTCGTTGTATATCTAGTTTTGTATGTTGATAAGGAAGTCGAGTTTTTTTATAAATTTTTGAGAAATTAAAGCTTTAAGTTAGAAGACAGTATTCTCAAAGAGCAATACCGAAATTACAAGTTAGTGTATTTTTATATTAGTGTTATACTGTATTATTTAAAACTTTTTTCATGAACATTGCAATAAGTATGTTACAACTAAGATACTACAAGATTAGCGCAAGGGTGGCCTTGTTGCTATCAGCAACCTGTTGGGACAGGAGAAGCTAGACAAAAACATAATGGTTTTTATCTGTTATTATTTTTTTATAGATAATGATTGGAAAAATACATTTACCATTTTTTTTTTTTTTTTATAACAAAAGGTGGCAAACGAGCAAGCGGCCACCTGAATCCGCCAAAATGGCGAAGCGACCGCTGCCCATAGACATCCGCAATTGCAGATGCGTTGCCTACCCTTATCCGACAGAGGAGATGCACATAAAGAGGATATTTCCCCTTCCTATGTATCTCCTCCTCCGTAAAATCCACTTTCCCTTCCCATCCTCTCCTTATAAGAATAGGGCGGTAAAGAGAAAGGGACTTAAATTAGGCCTCCGGCACCACAATTAACATCCGCTACTGCTTGTGACTTGTGATCTAAACTGTACGTTGTCAAGTGAGACTGTGAGCACAATGGCTCCTTTGTGGCTGTAAAGGATTGCAGTCGGACGCCCTTCGTCAGCGTCGTTCTTCAGTTGTTTTATTTGTCCGCGTATTGTTGGCATGTCTGTTACAAAAGTTTTTCCAGTTCATAGGAGAAATGTTATATAATATGTTTAGGTTCCGGTTCAAATTTATATGTAGTTAAATATTACATCAATTTAAAATTCAAAATAAAATTGTTAAGACGCAATTTCATCAGTCGATAAGTCAGTCGTTGCGGGTCCTGGACTAAGGAAATTAAAAGTCGATGTAAAAAGCCGCGAAGGGTCTTAGTTGACTATTAAAATGCGTGGTAAGCAAGTAAGGACTATCAACAACTTATGACAACGGTTCTCATGTGTGTGCGCTTGTGGTATGCATGAAGAAATCATCTCTCGCACCACGCATGCGGCCATTACCCACAAACAAAAACATTATGACTTTAAATAAAACTTATTATGAACATAATTTTGTTCCAAATAAAGTTAACTATAATTCCATCTAAAAATTTACCTCAATCATCATAATAATTTTGTTTCTGCACAACAATTTGCTATAAAATCCAAGCATTTTAAAATCTTCTGAAACGCTTGTAATGTTGCGCTATTCCGCAGACTTCCTTAAAAATGTTGAAAATTTAATGGCGAAATTCTCTTTCTGCGATTTATTAAAATGCACTCTGTTATAAAAGGAATTTAAAAGACTTCATAAATGTATCTTTACTGTAAAAGGGAATTCCAAATTCAGTAATTTTACCCTGGAATTTGATTCAAAGGCTTTTGGATGAGGAAGTTATGCAGAAAATTGAATTATACCATTTCCTACTATATTCTACCAATGAATTTATTAATAAATTTAACAATACTCATACAAAATGAAATAAAATATAGTAGATTTCAGTATAAAATAAATTCGACTTTTCAATTCTTAAAATCACATTTTGTACAAGTTTTTGAGAAAAAAAAAATTTCAGTGGTAAATTTTTTTTTCCTAAAATTACGTGAAATCTCCATGACCAAATATTGCATTGTAATTTGGTTATTGTATTTTTTATAACGGATATCTTACGATTTCCTTATTCATGTTTGCTACATTCGTACAATATTCAACATGAAAATTCTCGTATAACACGTACACAGTAAGCTTGAATTCCCGTTGTTTTATTTTTTGACGTGACAATTCACATATAGCGTGTTCTTATTTCTGAGCAATTACCCGTCTCGTCACACGTCATTCCCAGAATCTGTTTCCCTAATTTCGTTTCGTTTCGTTTCTCTTACCCCTCGCTGGATATCGCGGTTGACGTCCCAACGTTTGTATTTCCTTTATATTTTCTCGATACTAAATTTCCTTATTATTTTTGTATGTGAACGATTCGATGAATAATACATTTTTTAGATAATACTGCCAATTGGTTGTAATTTTACTTCTTACTAATATTATAAATGCGAAAGTTTAGATTGGATGTATGTTAGAGTTTGTAGATGGTAGTCTGGAAGGACACGTAGGATACTTACTTTTTTAAAATTAAACGCGGACGAAGTCGCGGGTAAGCTAGTACTCAATAAGTGATGTAACATGTTTGAACCATACATTGCTTGTGTTGGTGTTGATTGATTACTAAATACAAGTAAGGCCCCAAGTTTGTAATGTCATACAATAATGGAATTTTCTCAGAAAAAATAACTCCAGTTTTGGCTACACACTAGCTTTCTCCCGCGACTCCGTCCGCGTGTAATTAAAAAGACATAAGTGAGTAGCCTATGTGTTCTTCCAGATTATCCTCTACATCTATGACAAATTTCATCCAAATCCTTTCGGTCGTTTAGGCTACAAAGTCTAATAAACATCCATCCATTTAAACTTTTGCACTTACATATTAGTATGATAAGATCTTTGTATCGATCGTTTAGGATATTGACTTTTCATATTTTCAGTAATAAGAGTAAACAAAACACACAACAAAGAAAACCTCAAGAGTATTCAAAATACATAAGTTGTCTCGTTAAAGTGCTCTGAACTCCAGCAACGATGTTACAAACGTTCTTAGTTATTGCTTCTTTTATTGTAACTGCAGTTGTTGTGTAATGAAGGCGACTATTTATCTTTAATAGCTCGAAATGAACCCTCCTTGCCGCCTCAAGTTCAGATAAAACTTTCAAACTACATAGAATAGGAGACTTTCAGTGTTTCCCAAGTATTCAAATTCCTGGGAACTATTTGGCTAAGTTAATTTTATTATAACAAATTCAAAAATTAATTAAAAACGTAGATATGAGAGTTTTATTACTAACCTACTCTCTACATGATAGGTTGTAATATTGCGTACTATTTCATCTCCTAGCGCCATCTATTGAATACTTTTGTTACATCCATGTTAAATGTCTATGGAACGAAATTCACCCAATATAGGAAGTACAAACAATAAAAGTGCCTAAAAATAAACCTCAGATAAAGTCACATCGTAAATCACTATAACATTTAAACAAACTTTTGTATATTAACTTAGTCTATCTATCTATACTAATATAATAATGCGTAAACACGCACTTCTTTGTTGCCTACGATGTCAGCAATTACAGCATATTTTTGAATAATTCTTTTTTTAATAAAAAGCCCTACAATTACGTCACGCTTTAGGCTATATATTTTCACGCCATTAAACTTAGGGGGTAAATATTTTGGATAAAAACCCAAATGTGGGAAAGGGACCATAAACTACAAGCTGCCAACATTAAGGAAGCTTTGTTATTGTGGTATTGGTAATTTTGACTATTGCAATTGAGAATTTGACAAATGTAAACAATATAATATTTTTTTATTATTCCACGCGGATGAAGCCGCAGGGGAACAGCTAGTACTAAATAAAATAGAAGAGCATAATTTTTAGATTAAAATAACGATAGAATTTTAAATTAGATCATTTAAGTTTTGATAGTTTGTTTTTAATTAAAAAAATTGCGAGAGTATCCAATTAGCCCATTTTACATTTCAGAAATATTTGAGCGTAAAATTGTAATTTACCATAAAGTAATTTGAGTTTGTATTCATAGGAATATCCAATTAAAATTGTCCATTTTACTTACAATGAATTATTTTTACCTTTGAGGTATAGTTCATTCATCATCACCAGCTCACTATATGTCCCCACCGAGGGGCTCGGAGCCTACCCTAAATTAGGGTGATTAGGCCATAGTCAACCACACTGGCCCAGTGCGGGGTGGTCGACTTCATACATATCTTTGAATTTCTTCGCCGATATGTGTAGGTTTCATCACGATGTTTTCCTTCACTGTATGAACGTCGGGTAAATTATGTACATATGAAAATTCGAAAAATCAAAAATCACATTGGTATACTTCATTACTTTTTTCAATTAACGCTATTTCAACAAACTTTTCTTTGTTAATAAATATATTTTTATCGCTTTATTGTAACACAAAACAAACAGAGTTAAACTTTACAATACACCTAAACAAAGAAGTGTGGAAAAAGTTAATTCTCCTTAACTTACGACACAAAGAAAAATGTAGCCAAACAACAAACAAGGAAAATATACGAAGGAAACAAAGCTTGGCTTAAACTTGGGTCGTTAGCTGTTCCTAACTCACGCAATAAATGTACCCACCTGTTTATTAATAACTTAGATTAACTGCCGATACCAAAAATAACTTTCTCACGAAATTAATACCTTGTTTTTCATTACAATATATTTTACACTATCTATACTATTATAATAAAGCGTAAACACACACTTCTTTGTTGCCTAAGATGTCAGCAAATACAGCATATTTTTGAATAATTATTTTTTTAATAAAAAGCCCTACAATTACTTCACGCTTTAGGCTATATATTTGCACGCTATTAAACTTAGTTGGTAAATAAATTGGATAAAAATCCTAATGTGAGAAAGAGACCATAAGTTGCTGCCAACATCAATGAAGCAAGATTGTGCATGAATTGTCACATGTCATGTCATTTTGACATTTGCAATTGATAAATCGACAAATGTAAACGATAAAATGACGTTTTTATAATTACCTGCGGATGAAGCCGCATGGGAACAGCTAGTATCCATATATTAATGGGCATAATAAACAATTTTAACTACTATAATCAGAGATTAATTAAAAATTCAAATCCAAAAAAATATAAAAAAAATTTAAAGGTCCACACGTGTCTCATACTGAGTATGAACGTACATTTTAAAAACAAGAAACTCTGATATCCCTTTCTGTTCGTGGCATATCAAAACAGTAGAAATTTCCAACATACAGGACAGATTTATTTTCAGTTTTTAATTTGAACCTTGTTTCAAACACGTCTCCGGGTGAGCTTTGAAACACAATGGGGGACTCACAATGGTGGCGTGCCCTTGTGGTTGAGCAAAGGATCGCACTCGGATGACATTCCCCACGAGCTATAGATATATGACAACAATGTTTTTGTACATTTTTGCTTAAAAAAATCATAAAACCGTATTCCATATTTAAACATGTCTGCCTTTTTTCTGAACTGAAAACCACATGACTAGGATAATTCAGCGTGTCATAACCAGTGCCTATTTAGAGCATGGCGAAGTAGGGCGACCGCCCAGGGCGCTAGACAAAGAGATAAAGTCGGCATATTACACTACATACACGCGTTGTAGAAATTCCGCGCAAGGCACTAGTAACTCAAACTGGTACTGAATATATCACTCCCGCTTTTTTACACGCTTATTCCAGAAGAATCATAAAAAAACAAAAGAATAAACAATAACAGCTTTATTGCCCATTAGGAATGATGGTCGAACATCAGTACAGTTGTCACCTTCGTTTTTGAAGCAATGCTCTTCAATTAGCTGATGGTTTTCTTCGCATTCACAAATGTAACAAGAATCCATTATATGACCGACTTTGTCACATTGATATTTCGTGTGGTTATGAGTCGGCACCACCGTAGTAGTTTCAATGGTACTGGCTTCTGCAAAAGAACTTTAGAAATTGAATTTCAATCGCTAATTAGTTACTTCACGTTTTTTAAATATGCTTTTACAACGTAGGTTTAGGAAACAGACTCATAAATTTGAAAAAAGAATAAAAATAGCTAAAGAGTTAACCTGAACTATCGTTAGTATGTCGACGTCCCATCGGTTCGTAAAACACATTGGGGAACGGCTGTTCGCAGTACATGTTCTTGAGTGGACGACAGAAATGCATTATACTACCCATGTAGGGGCAAATGCACATCTGACATCTGCAAATAACATGGATATTGTTAACCCTATTGAAGTACTTATATTAAAGAAAAACAAATAAAAGAAAAAAACAAAGCGTGTGTGAAGATAATATTTGAGTTAAATATAATTCTGAGTTACTCCATACTACTTAGGTAGAAATATTAAAACAAAAGTTTCTAAGCCTGAAGTTTGCTATAGACAAAACATTTATTTACTTGATAATATACATGGATCCAGGCGTGCACTCTTTCTGTGGCTCTGTCTGGTTGTAATGATAACACGGCATGTCTCGACGGATTCGGAAATGTCGACCACCTTTTCCTAGTAAAGTATTTTGCAATTCCTAAAAAAATAGAAGAAGAATATACGTTTGCATGAAGAATAGTAAAGGCTATCGCTCATTGACCCTTACTTGAATCGTCTCGTCGCAGTGCTATCCCGTGAGCAACTTACTAAAGATAGGCGAACGCTCTGCGTACAACGGATGGGTAACTTCCTCCGCTTCGTATGAAATAAGAAATTAAAGCTTACCGTTTCCGAAGGCATTTGATGTTTTTCTGTACATTGAGAAACGTCACATTCAGCATACATTTTCAATCCCATCTCAGGACATACACATTGTTTGCATCCGTCTATAAATTGCTCTCCAGGAAAACACAAATCTAGACTCCTTTTAGTGTCACTGGTGAGTCGGTCCTCTAACAAATTTTCAGACAATTCAAAACTAGGCCACGATGCTACCTCTGGACATGTATGGTTTGTACATACTCTGTCATTTTTATTACCGTTCGGTGGACACAGACAAACATTGCACATTTCACTGAAGAGTTGTCCGGAGGAACAGGAGTCCGATCGTAGGTAACTTTTTTCGCATAGATTTTTCGTGCACTTTGCTACGTTTTTAAGTCCATCGCTCGGACAGTAGCAAACGTTGCAGTCGACTTCATAGTAAGCCAAAGGTTCGCAGGTAAACCTGACATTGTTTTGATTTTTATCTGTGTCTGAACAGTAATTTTTAGTGCAAGCTTTCTCTTTTGATAATCCGCTTTCTGGGCAAATACAGAAATTGCATTTGTCTTTAGAGATCGAACCTGGCGTGCACGCCTCTGACAAAGTATCCGCTGTGAATAAATTTGGTCGCTTATGTGATTCTTGTATCAATCTTTTGGCATTACAATCATCGTATGTGCACCATTTTGGATCTATTTTACCTTTTTTAGAGCAATAACATGAATTACAATCGAAGTCTACAAACGTATTAGGTTGACACGGCATATCGACGTTGTAGTTAATTTGGTTATCTGGTAACGTTCTAAATGGTTTCGTATCATTAAACGATTTGCATAGCTTGAGATTCGTAGCAGAAGTAGAACAAATACAATATTTCCCTTCATCAAAATATACGGAATTAGGTTTACAAGAATGTGAAGGTATTATTTTTAAATCCGATTTCTTTATAAGGTTTTGAGTCTGTATACTTTCGGTCAAAACTCTCTCCAAAACTTTAAATTTGCTTTGATAGTTACAAGCTCTCGAGCAGTATTTTCCATCGGTCGAACCGTTTTGGAGACAAAAGCATTCCACACAAACCGGCACTACTTCGTCTGCGTTACATTGTCCGCTATAGTTTGCACTTTTCAATTCCAAATTCGTAGAACAATCCGTTAAGAGGCATGAATCTTCATTGATTGTTCCATTAGAATTGCAATCGCAGAATAAGCATATCGGTTGTGTAAACGTATAAGGAACACATTTCTTTCTCATGTTCCTTAAAGAAACTAAATTGGAACTTGGTGTGTTAACACCACAAGAGATGTTAGTGCACAATTTATCATCTTGAATTCTATTTTGGGAACATTGACAGACGTTACAATTTCTTCTGTAATACGATCCGGGTTTGCATTGCGGATTCAATTTCAATTGAGTCTGAGCTTGACATACTTCGAAGCATTTTTCAAGAAGAAACTTCCCGTCTTCTGAACAAAGACATTGCAGACATGGGAAGACGTACATGACATTCGGTATACAGTTGGTATCATCGATAGTTGTGAATGATCTGGACTGTTGTTGGTTGGTCGAAAGACAGGAAGAATCCACGGTACATCTAGCTTCAGATATCAGTCCTGAAGCTGGACAAAAGCATATACTGCAGTTGGCTCTGTAATACTTTAGTGGTATACAACGATTTCCAATAGTTGATATTTCTCGTCTCGCTGTCGATTGCTTATCGGTGCAATAAATATCCGTGCAATGAAGTTCTCCGATGCTATTGCATCTGCATTGTCGACAGCCCTGCCAGATAATTTGACCGTATGAACACGTTTGACGACGGAGGCCATATTGACAGTCTTTCTCTGACCATCGGCCCATTTCGTCGCAAGTACAATGTCTGCCGTTGACAAAGAATTGTGAGTGCGGGATACATGACTCTGTGGAAGTTGGTACAGTCAGAAAAAAAGTGCGATTTTATTATTGAAAAGATATAAAAAAACTTACGATATGTGGATTCTTCTGTTAATGGTGTTAAAATTAATAATGGTAATATTATAAACATGACTTTTACTTTCTAAGAAAACTTTTATTACATTAAATTTTAAAAGTAGATGGCAAATAACAAGATTACAAATTAATATCACAATGTTGTATTCTCATTAAATTTATTTCGTTAATGTTTCTTTTATTTCTATTTTTTATCTTATCGTTACGTTAAGTGGCGTAAAATTGAAAGTATTTTTACAGTCAATGAGAAGTTAAAATTAAATTCTAAAAAACAAATCGTAAAATCTTTTCATATTTAGATAACAACTTACTATCGGAACAATATCCAACTCCTGCAAATAGTACTCAACTTAAAATCCCAATAAACTTGCAAAAACTGTGTTTAATTTTTTTTTATAATGTGACAAACAATATTGTCTCCTAGATCAAGGCAATTTATACTTTTTCTACTAAAAGATATTCAACAACACAAAAACATCATTATAACTGAAAATGTAGTCTAAATTATTATCTTCCAATATCATTTTTCGTCAAATTCTGAAATAAGGTTCTATTATAAATTCGACGAATTAATTGAGTCCCTTCATTTACATACAAATTTGATTGGAGGAAATCACGTAGAACGATCGTTGAGAAGCAATTAGATGGTTGAAGTTTTTTGTTGTAAATTTGAATTTTTTCCAAAAGAAAAAAAGCAAAAGCTTTGTCTTATTACAATTAAGTATATAACCTTCGAAACCTGTGGTGAAAATACTAGAATATTGAAGCGTGTTAAGTATAACGTACACCGCATGATAATGTTTAAAAGCGCCTGCGAAAAATAATTACTAATTATTCTAGATCTTTAGTAGCTAGTAAATAAGTTCCAGGGGCATCCTTCTACAAGGCGAAAAGACCTGAAGACTTAATTTTTTTAACGTTATAGACTGAATAAGATTAAAAAAAATATTAACCATAATAACAATTCAACGTATGTGAAAATATATTTGTGAAGATCGCATTAAAACGATCAAATACAACGTAACGAAATGATCGCCTAAAGCGCTAATTCAGCTCGAAAATCCAGTTGAATTTGAATACAGAAGTCCCTTGCTGATACGATCGATTAGTAACGTTTGTATGGTTTAAACAGACTCGTACTAGATATCTCATTTATTTTTTAAATAAATAGAAAACTTAACCTCAATTAGAATAGCAAAAGAGTCTTATGAGTTGGTTTGAACGGTTCGTTAAAACTTGCAATAAACAAAAAAAATGTTTTTTTAGACTATAAAAATAGCCGTAAAAGTTTAACTATACTTTTTATCTTTTCTAATAAAAATATTCAAGTTATCTGCTTGCACTGAATAAAATTCTACTTTCTGACTACTCTAAAACTTTACCAGCGGCTACAAGTTGAAAGTGTATTTTGCTGTTCACAGGAAAAGCGAAGAAATCGATAAAAACCATAAATCGGATCAAGCGGACTTCAGAAAAATTTCTACAGTTTCGAAAACATATTAAACGCGAATCTAAAAAAAATTGTTACATAACTCTTCTTCCAACAATCTTTCAAAACCTCTGAACATTTATTTATATTTAAAAAAAACGACTAGATGTTATTAACAAAACCAAAGAAAAACAAATCCTTAAGCGATAAAAATAACTTGAAATATTTAAAATTACATCTATAACTTTCACCCACGTCTCCGTCCGCTTGGAATAAACATGGTAAGTAGCCTACGTATTCTTCCAGACTATCTTTTACATCAATTCCAAATTTCATAAAGATCCGAGGCCGTCCACGAAATTGTACGAGTAAATTGTCTGATAACAATCCAACGTGTAAAATACGTGATGGAAATATCGGATTTTATTACCTTATCTGATAGTGACGTCATTTTTAAGCTATCTGAGCCTATCAGTCACTCGTGGGACAAACCCTAACTCTAACAAACATCCGTCTACACTTTCGCATTTATAATGTTAGTAAGCTTATCCAGCAATATTTTTAAAGAAATATTGTCAGTTTTTATACTTTACAAAAGCTAAACAGACGATCGATCACCGACTCTGTATTCAATTATAAATCGATTCCCCTAATGCATGTCAGTGACGTAATCGAAAAATAATCCCCCTGTACTTGTGGGACATGACAAAGATGTTAGTATAATTGAACGGCTTTGTTTCTGACGTTGAAATATATTAAACGGAATTACGCTCGGTCGCGAAAAGGTTTAATGAATTTATTTTTGATAAAATTATATTAAACTAGCTTTCGCCCGCGACTCCGTCCGTGTAAAAAACTGAGTAGCCTATGTGTTCTTCCATACTATCCTCTACGTCTATTCCAACTTTAATCGAAATCTGTTTAGTCGTTTAGGCTATAAACTCAAACAAACATCCATCCATCTAAACTTTCGCATTTATAATATTAGTATGATACAGTTCTATTTTTAAAAAATGCTATTGAAGAGGAAGTTAATTTGACATTTTATCGAACTAATATTGGTTAAACAACTATGGCATCAAAAGGAGAAACGGATTATTTGAAAACCAAGATGGCTCACCAGAGACATAAAATACTTCGCCATATTGCGGAAAAATATGGAACTAATTTCTTTACGTATGGTAAAATGTTCTGTATTTATATTGAAGTCGATTGAAGCAACCCCACGCTACGGTTCTTACATACTCGGTTAAGAGCCGTAAGTGACTTCATAAAAGTATGGATTTTTCGTAAAGTACTACTTTTTCTCGAATCGATAAACATGTTTGAGACGCACGTATAGTTACAATGCGCTTTGTATGGAATCCCTTTGTGCGATGCTCTCTCGTATATTCGTTTGAAACTGAAGTTTTAAGAGTAACGTCGGGGAGAATCTTGAGTGCTTGTCGTTGTTTATAAAATTTTTGATATATAATGTCTTTTGTCTTGGTTTTATGTACTTCTCTATGGTAAATACCAACCTTTGGAGAAAGAAGAGCGCTCCAACTCTCTCCACATTGGAGAACTTTGGAAATCTTGCCTGGTGCTATCCACCACTCTACGCAAGAACTGTTGAAAACTTGCCTAGATAGGTTCAGTCTATCATTATTTCAGTCATGTCATTATTCAGTCATGACTACTGTAAGAGTGTAAACTTAGGAGCCATTATATCCTTTCAACCAGTCTACCGTGTTACACATCGTTCTATCCTTCATCGTATTCTGTCATCAACCCATTTTTGACCGACTTCCCAAAAGAAGGAGGTACTCAATTCGTCGATTTTTTTTTTAATTATGGCATCCACACCGATTAATTCTTTACAATATAATTTAAGAATTAAATACAATGGAAACTTATAGAAATTGCAAACTATGTTGATTTTGCGGAATCGCTAACATTTCGAGTGCACTGTATTCCTTCGACTGGAAAGATACTTACCAATGAACCTCTTTCGTATACTTTATTTACGTTGAATTAGCTCTCAGTAATATTAACCTCTTCAGCGATTCTCAAAGCGATTCCGGATACTTCTCATTTCCACTACACTTTATCAAACTTTTAATTTTCAAGCCTTTGTAGAAAATACTACGAAGATATTTAAATAAAAACGATATTAGGGAATTTTCAAATAATAAATGTCATAGAAATATACAAACTAAGTTTGGATAATTAAGTGAAGAGTAATCGTAAAAAAGTAATTACATAAATGTAAATATAATAAGGTTTTCTCGCGACTTTCCGCGAAAAAGTAAATTATCTAATAATAATTAAAACCAATGTTACTCAGAGACAACAGCTTTCTAATAACGAAAAAACATTTTAAAGCAGCCCTGTAGGGTTTACATGAATCCAATAGGTACTTGTAAAAATGCAAATATTTCCTCTTAATAATATTAGTATAGGTGAATTCATTAACTTGACTTATAATCTACAGGCCTTGTGTTCGAATCCCGCCATGTACCAATTTGATTTTCGAATTTTACCCGACGTTCTTACGCTGAAGGAAAACATTGTGATGCAACCTGCACATATCATGTCAACGAACTCGCAATGGGCGAGTGTGGTTGACTCTGGCCTAGTCACCCCTTATTAGCGAGCCCCTCGGTGAGGACATAAAGTGAGCTGATGATGGAATACATTAAACGTCATTCCAATAACAATTCGCAGTATCTACACTATTAGTGTTCATAATAATAATATATTTGTAATAAAACTATCAGAAACTAACATGAACTGTAATTAAGTCTATAAGGGAGCTTACCCTTAGTAATTATTTCCAATAAAGTCCCATCTAATAAAGGTTCTTACAAACTATGCAAGTTATTACTTCGGAGAATTCAGTACGAGCGTCCAATAAATTCATCTTATAGATATGAAAGCAGTTATAATTGGAATATTCCAAATATTTTGTACCAGACACATAACTTAAAATAATGTAATAAAATCATGATTTTATTAATTTGAAGTGATTAAAATAAATTTTCTATTCAGTTGACCGAAAACTTTTCAAAAAATTAGCAATGTAATGATTTTAACCAACACTTAAAGCCCCGTATTAACATCTATGAATTAACAAAAATGCTTTTTTTTATTTACGAGAGGATGCGGACATTTTCAACAGATATCTGCTTTCCAGTGTGTCTTTCAAATAACCTAGTAGTGACATCTATCGACAAATAACAACGTTTCATTTAACAATACAAAAATGTTTCTGACCAATTGTTTATTTTTGTTATCATACGCAGATAGTATAGCGTATCGTAGACTCAGTTCACTTCGAAATAACATACAAAGTGCAATCTTTGATACATTATTTCTTAAATACTCGTATAACATTAGTATTTTGAAATTAATAAACTGGTAAGTCATTACTTTTAAATTTATTTTTAATACTAAAGTTATGTTAAACTAGCTTTCGTCCGTGACTCCGTCAGTGTTGAATTAAAAGAAAACAAGTAAGTAGCCTTACAGACTATCCTCTACATCTACACCAAATTTCATCGAAAACCTTATCTTAGGCTACAAACTCTAAAAAACATCCATCCATCTAAACTTTCGCAATATCATTAGTAAGTAAGATTGTACAATATCACTGCTAAAACACAAAGGAAATTTATTGTTGTTTTTTTATATTTGCACACAATGTAAGAACCTGCAATTTTTTTTAAAATAACTTATTTTATCGTCACTTCGGGGTAATTTTATCATTACCAAATCGTATATTTATTTTTAGCAAGGCACTGACCTTAAATATATTGAAAGTGTAAATATAATAAGCAAACTACAAATTTATACCATATCGAGTATGCAATATGATTTAAAATTGTAAAGCACTTTTCAATCTCAGTGAACTTATACGACTTCCATATAAAGAAAACAGGTTGTAAATATTACGTTAAAATATTTAAAAGCATAGTATTTCCGACAACGCATAATAACAGACGTACATCGGGAAAAAAACACTGTAAAATAAAGTCGTCATTAAAAAATAACATTGTTTTAATTTGTGTTAAATTTAATTTAGAAAGTGTGAAAATAAATACTTACATTGTGAATAAACACAGGTAAGGATGCAACTTTTTTTTAATAAACAATAAAATTTTATTAGAGAAAAATAAATTAGTACAATCTACTTGCTGATCTGATGCTTTACATCCCTAAGCAAAATAATAATAAATTACAGAGCTAATAACAACTCAGACACGACACATTTAAGACGTTATAAAACCGGTTAATAGACTAGTACATTTTATACAAGTTTTAATACGCTCTAAAACAGAACATTATAAAATTTTACTTACTTTTTTATCTTATCTGGTCTCTGTATCTTAGGCATTTATTTCACTTTTGTACTTCATTTTACATATTTGTGTAACCACTTCTATTTTTCCACAGATAATGGCGAAAGAACAAAGATTTCCATTCACTATTCAAAATGTCACTGAAGAGGAGGACGCGGTTATTAAACAATACTACAAAGGTAATCTTACTAATGTTACAGACTAAAATTTTGATGGATGGATGGATGTTAGAAGGTATCTCCAGAATGGATGTTGAAATACTTGTTTTTTAAGTGTTTTAATTCAACGCGGACGGAGACACGGGCAAAATGTAGTGTTAGACACTTCTCACATATTTTTATTAATTTTCTGTTCTCATATAAACGTCTTAAATAAATATATTTTTACAGGATACAATCGTCCTTTTGTTCGGATTGGTCCCCACGGCTACCTCTGGCCGGCCGGCTATGGCGACCATGCCGCTGATATATACAATCTAGAAGTACGACCTGACGACATTTGGGTGACTAGCTATTCTAGATCAGGTATAATTCCAATTATATTACACCTAATTAACATTCTAACCGGTTTTAGAAGTTCAATGTACCCAATAGAACATAGACTTTCGACTAAAAATCGTGAGAAAGCAACGTGTTATGTGTTAGTAAATTTTTTCAAACAAAATATATTGGAGCTACGTCCCCATCTCTTTGAAATAAACATGGCATCGGTTTGTAAAACTCTTGATATACGAAGTCCTTCTATCAACAATAGGAACATCCATCAAATCTGATCAATACTGTCTTTCAATTCCAGGCACAACGTGGCTTCAAGAACTAGTATGGCTTGTGCAAAACAATTTAGATTTCGAGACTGCATCATCCGTTTCTGTATCCACAAGATACGCTTTTATTGAGTAAGTCCAACTAATGAAACCAAGGGATTCACCCTTTCCTATACATCCATTCCTCTACCAATTACACATTCCTTTGTCATCTTTAAAAACAAATTGTAATATTGCTCTCATTTCTGTTTCAGGTATCCTACACTGGCATCTGAAGTTAGAAAACCTACACCAAATCCTATTATGAAAGGTCAAAGTGCTACCGATGAGGATTATACGACATTTCCAAGTTTACCTTCACCACGTTATGTGAAATCCCATTCACCGTTATCACTTCTACCATCGAACTTGCTGGAAACAGCCAAAGTGTTTCATATTGCCAGAGATCCAAGAGATGTTGTCGTCTCTTACCACTTTATGCACATAATGTTCCGATACTTCGACCAGAGCGTCCAGGTCAGGGAGTTTTGGAATTTATTCAAGAGGAACTTAAGTAAGCATCTCTTTCTAACTTCTAAATATACTAAAGATCGTCGTCCTTTTTCTGCATAATTTTAAAAAAAATAGTATTGACAACTCATAAAGCATATATGAAACGTTTGTTTGCTTAATTGCAGTTCTACATGCGCCATTGGAGGAACAAGTAAGGGAAGCCTGGGAACTGCGAGATCATCCTAACATGATGTTCCTTATGTATGAAGAAATGAAACAAGTCAGTATAGAGCAAATTAAAAGCAATTTGAATTTGGAACAAACTATCGCGGATTTGAAACTTGAAGGAGATTCTCAATTTATTTATTTATTTTTGTATTTCAGGATCTGCCGGGTGTCATTGATAGAGTTTGCAAATTCCTGGGCAAAGAATACACAAGAGAACAGAAAGACAAACTAAATGAATATCTACAGTTCGATAATATGAAGAAAAAGTCACCATCTGGAGACGAGAAAAAAAATTCCGAACTGACATTTATGCGCAAAGGTATGTAACTCTGTCAAAATTTCTTCAGTCATTTTCACTATTATATCAACCTGGAAGGAGTAATTCTCCTCTTCATAAAGAGGTTAAAGGCAATATTTGTAGATGTATTTAAAATTAATTTCCAGGGAAATCAGGCGGCTGGGTTCAATACTTCGACGATGAAATGAAGAAAGAAGCTGAGGAATATATGAATAAATATCACATGTGCACCAAATTACAATTCCCAGACGTGAACAGTTGATTAAATTGTAAATACGTAAATTACCTAATACAAGTTTAAGAAGAAAACAAGTTCTGTGTTTCAATTCCTAATTTTAAGTATAGTCTACTCCTAACAAATCTAATTAACTATTAATGTAACGGCTATATCAGCCTTGAATATTAGATCATAATTCAATTGTACTTATCCTTTCTACAGCAAGAATAACTTTATTATTACGTCTGTGTATTTTTAAATATATCTCAAAAATTTGTCTGTTTAAAAATTTAGACATAACTACATTGATGTGGTTGAACCAAGTCAAAGCTTCGCTTTGCTATTTTTACGAATGCAGGTAACCGGTTACTTATTTATAAAAAGCATATGGCATTTGTACTCAATACATTCTAATATCACCATGTCTTATAGATATCTTCAAGGGGAACAGCTGCCCCTCCTTCTCTAGATACTCAGGCACCCGTGTCATGTCTACAAATGCCAAGCTCTTGTTCCCACATAATACTAATTGGTGTAGAAATCTGAGAACAATATCTCACGTTGAGTAAGTTGATGCCGTGGCAGGAAACTAATTAATATGTCGACGAAGCTGGTTGGAGTCCTATTGTTGCAACGTTAACACTAAATAAATTGAATAGGTAGGTATAAGATTTTACGCTTAGACAAAAACAATTTACTAAACGTCTTAGTATCGAAATACATTGCACTTCTCCAACTCGGACGTAAAAAGTTAAAATTATTGTTCTGCGAAACTTTTCAATTGATGTCATTGCACTTCTATGGTATAATTATCAATCTCACGACTCAACTGAACTAGCACTCCACCTTCCTGAAGGCACTCAAAACTTAGGTCATTGTACAACTTTGTTTCAATTACCTGCACTCAATATCTCCCTTAGTACAACGGAATAAAGTTCATTGTTTGAAGTTGAGGAGGTCAAAGTAATTTTGTCTGTTCCAACGGTTCCCACTTTTCCACAAGTTTGTCAAGAGGCTTATAAACTAAAATGACTTATTACGTTATTTTGAAAGGGAACTATTTCAGATTAAGTATCTTATGATGGTTAATAAAGTTCTCTCAACATTTACTTAGATGTAAAGTAGTTTATTTACTTTCGAAACTATATTAAAGTAGGAGCATTCGTAACAGACGATCATTAATTATAAATAGACTAGCTTTCGCTCGCGACTCCGTCTGCATAGAATATAAAAAACAAAAGTAAAGTAGCCTATGTGACAGATTATTCTCTACATCTATGCCAAATTTCATCGAGATCCGTTCAGTCGTTTAGGCTACAAAGTCTAACAAACATCCATCCATCTAAACTTTAGCATTTGTAATATTATTTAGATTAGATATATGTCAAAGGTCAAATGGCATAAGACGATCTGCCTAACTCTCTGGGTAGCCGTATATTGTGGTAAGTTATTAAGGTGTTATCTGATTTTTTTATTTAAAGATGGTTTTTCTGTATTAGCCTAGTTATAAACGCCGCTGCGTCCTACGATTAGTACGAAGAAAATGCAATCCTTGCTATATCATACTACTTTTGTAATGACCCCCAAAACTAAAACGATTCCACAGCAACAAGAAATATGTGAATCGATACTCCAATTATTATTTAATTGTTGTTAATTTGAAACTCAATTACCATCCAATAAAATTAGTACAAATTCTAACATACTACAAACTAGTATACAAAATAGATAAAACACTAACGGAAACACACGTATAATTCTAACCGAAATTCGTTTAGTTGACTGACATTTGCAATACAGAGCTTGTATCCGCGATATTTTACACACAAAAATGTTATCAATCACATTAGATCGATAAAATACGATTAGATTATACATTATTGAAAAAGGTTGGATATCGTTTGAGTGATACAGTGACATTTTGTTCCTTGTGTAGTCATGGCGCCCTGGATAGACCTGCCGTATGAAATAAGGAACGTCACGCCTGAAGAAGATAAAATTATCAAGAAATGCCTAATCGGTGCGTTCAGTGTTAAGTGCTTCAGTGTTGTATTGTATTGTGTTAACCTTACAGAGGTATGTTTTGATTCCATGAAAATCCAAGGGATAGTAAACATGCTAATAATTACTGTAAATAAATTGAACATTTATGTAAGTTTTTTTGTATATCAAAAAATAGTAAAACCATGATTTAGGTAACAATAATAGTTTTAAAAATTTTAATTTATTTATTCACAGAACTGAAGTCGTTTTAACATTTTTTATGAGGATATAAATTTTAAATGCACAGATAATTTGCAAGATTAACATTATCGTTGTCCTACAAAGATAAGTAAATTGTGCATTTTCACTATCACTTGCTACTAAGTGAGATACAATAGATAAAAAAACTTTTTTACTCACAAAATTAACAAATATAAAAATTACCGCATAAAATATGGTGTCCCTAGTCCGAGTAACTAACAAATTATGCAAAAATAAAAACATATTGAATACTCATATATCAAAAATAACTTTCGATTCTTATGATTTTTCATGGTTTTATTGAAGTTTTGAAGACTTAGTTATTTTTTTTTTAATTATATTCACGATGACTGCATTCTTAGCAAAATAATTTTAAATCCATCCTTTTTAGTGAGATTGCTCACATTATTTTAAAAGCCACTAGAGGCCAGTTTCATAGATTTAACCAGTCGTTAGTGTTGTTGATTCGATAACTTCATGAAATTAGTTTCCGAACTTCCGAACGGCGGAGGAGATGCATAGGAAGGGGCAGTATCCTCTTTATGTGCGTCTCCTCCTCCGTCAGATAAGGGTAGGCAACGCATCTGCGATCACGGATGTCTATGGGCAGCGGTCGCTTCGCCATTTTGGCGAATTCAGGTGGCCGCTTGCTCGTTTGCCACCTTATATTATAAAAAAAAAGAACTACCTAACTTGCGTTTTACTCCGTTGGAACTTAGATCAACTTAACACTAATGATTCACTAGGTAGTAATCAAATGAATTTAAACTTCAGAAACCCAGCATTAGTTAACTGTAGATTAGATATCTAAAGTAAGTAATATCTTTTATATGATGTATCTCCACTCTCACAATTCGATTACTAATCTGTGGTATAAAAAAAATTGATAAAGAAATATTTTTGATAACTCTATCAAAGTCCAGAAAACACAAACATCGTAGTTGAATTTGTATACTAAAAAATATTCTAAAACAGGTTTCGTCTGCAATTCCATCCTCTTAGAAATGAAGACAAAACAAAATGAATAGCTTATGTGTTTTATCAGACTATGTTCTACATTTATGCCAAATGTCATTGAGAATCTCCCAGTCGTTCAGGATACAATCTGTAATAAACATCCATCCATCTAAACTTTTTTAATATTAGTAAGATAAGTCAATATTAAACCATAGCGTTTTTCATAAGTTATAAAAAAATTAAAAGAGCATTTTAAAAAGTTATAAAAAGGCTTAATTATTTTTGCTAATTCATGAATACCAAATTACTAGATTCACTACCACGTAATTATTTCAAACAAATTACATGACAATGTCACTTGTAATCAGAAATTTTAATGAACATTAATATTGTTAACGTAACAAAGTTCCGTTAATATGGTTTAAAAAAGACGTAATTTAACCGCGGTATAGAAAATATACAAGATTGGTATCCATTACTAATTCCTCATTTCTACTGACTTCTTAATTTAATATCATTCTTATGAAAATTGAAAAAAAAAACGTACGAAAATGTACACTTGTCTAATTTATTTCAGAAAAAACAATTCTCGATAGCAAATAACTTCTCTACATGTACATCTCTTTTACACTGTTACATTTTGTTACAATCTAACAAACATATAAAGCCGCTAGCTATCGCACGCGACTCCGTCCGGGTGGGATTAAAAAAACAAAAGCAACTAGCCTATATGTTCTTCCAGACTATCATCTAGATGTTTGCCAAATTTTATCGAGATCCGTTCAGCAGTTTAGGCTACATAGTCTAACAAACATCCATCCATCTAAACTTTAGCAATTACAATATTAGTAAGATTTAAATATGTGCGAATAATAAAACACCGCATCGATAACAAAGTGAGTTATCAATGAAGCATTTGAGTAATAAAAGTAATACATAATCGTAAAGATATCACAAAGATAAAAGCGATCTCTGGCCGGCCTTGGAATCGACTGTATCTCATACCTGAGAAGGTGCGACCGATAAAACCTACTTTTGTACTAAATTTTATTGTATTACAATTATTTTATTAAATGTCTTTACGTATCACTTTTGAGCTGTAAATCCGCAACAAACTTTTCAATTAAAACTGTGGGTGTGTAGAACTATAACTGCACAACTGACAGTTCAAAATTTGCCCACACTACGCACGCCTAAACGAATTGTCCAGTTAAAACTGCCAGAACTGAGCGTTTGAAACGGACTTAAGGTTTGTAGGTTATAAATTATAAAATGTTACAAAAAAGTTTGTCCCGATAACATAATAAAGAGCAAGAATTAAGATGATAATGCGACTAGCTATTCCTCTACGATTTCATCAGCTTAAAATTATTTTATTTAATGTCAAAATGAAATTGACAATCTTGCTTCCTTGATGTTGGCAGCAACTTATGGTCTCTTCCCCATATTAGGGATTTCATCCAAAATATTTAACCCCTCAGTTTAATGGCGTGAAAATATATATCCTAAAGCGTGACGTAAGTGTGGGGCTTTTTATTAAAAAAATAATTATTCAAAAATATGCTGTAATTGCTGACATCTTAGGCAACAAAGAAGTGTGTGTTTACGCTTTATTATAATAGTATAGATATAGATAAATTGTGAGTTTAATTAAAACTAAATATAAAGGTATAGTCGCGGTACAAAACTATTAAAATACTTGTAAATGCGGAAGATCAACAGTATCCAACATATCGGTCAATACCGATCCAGATATGCTATAATAGATTGATACCCTCAATTTAATATCGATTAAATACTATGACGTAATATTTTGAGTACACGCGCACTTTGTACTATGAATCAATCATTAGATCATTGCATACAAAACGATAATGACTAATAAACATCCGATCTTTGTATCTATCGATATAAAAAGAAAATTTTCATGTGTTCGTATTTATTACTTTACATGTCAAAAAGGAGTACTAACAGACAATTCCTCTGGTATTTCGGATGTCTATTATCACCTGTGTTCCGATGCTCGTTTGTTTCCTATCAGTACATAGAAAAAAACTCTTCACCTGATCGAGAACTAAGTATTTTTTTTTTTTCAAATTTCAGGATACACGAAACCATTTGTAAAATGCGGCAAGAACGAATACGTGATGGCGGCGTCTTTCAGAAAACATGCGGAAGAAATCTACAACCTGGAAGTGAGGCCTGACGATATATGGGTTATCACTTTTCCCAGATCAGGTACTTATGCAACCTCATATAGTCATAACAACACTTTGGAACTTTTAACATTGGTAGAATTGATAAAAACTGAAATGCTCTTGCAAGAACAAACCACATAGGACAGGCATCAATTGTATGTCCGCCTTTTTTCTCGACGCCTTGACGCCTCGCCTCCTCTTTCTCGACGTCTTTTATGCATTTAAAGTAAGCAACACAATTACAAGCTAACTTATATCTAAGGGCATTATTACTGTAAAAGAAGAAAACATGGTAACTTCAAAATTTCGTTAGATTTAATATTCCACAATCCTGGTACTGATAGAAAAAAGTTTTCCTCGCACGTTATTTACTCAGGTTTTTGGACTGTTAATGAATTATTGATACGTAGGTTAGTAATGACGAAGCAAAATATACATGAATCCATAGCTAACCATATCACATGCGTTAGATAAGGCTGAGTGTTTGCGTTTACATAAGTACAGCACTCGTTTTTGTTTTTCCGTTACAAATACAATAAAAACATCAGTTCGATATCACCGTACGAAATGATCTTAATGACATTGAAGTAGTGAAATAAAATAAAAATCGCTTTATCAATACGATCAGTTGAACAATAATCATTGGGCTCTTCTTCCTGAGTAACTTTCGAATAAAATATGAATAACTTTCGCCCGCGACCACGTTCGCGCGAGATTAAAAAAAATAAAACTGAGTAGCCTATGTCTTCTTCCAGATTATCGCCTACATCTATGCCAAATTTCATCAAAATCCGTTCAGCCGTTTAGGCTAGAAACTCCAACAAACATCCATCCATCCATCTAAACTTTCACATTTATAATATTAGTAAGAAGTAAGATGTGCATTTTTCTATTCGTACATTATACGTTCCATAACCTTTCATTAAAAACTAGTTGTGTGTTGCAACCACGCCGTCGTGAAATTAAAAAATAATGAAAAAAATGCTGTATGTTACTCAGTGATAACGTAGCTTTTTAGTCGTGAAAGAATTGTTAAAATCGGCCCAGTAGATTTTGAGTTATTTGCATGCAGAAATAAAAATCATTCCTCTTTATAATATAAATGTAAGCGAAATCTATTTAAATAATTTTCATACTTCTTTCCGTCATAAAACATTATACAATTGAGCAGCATTTTTGTAAATTTTCCACACTAAGAACATCAATGCTAAACGTAAAATAGTTATCTAAAGTAGGGACGTGTATAACATAACGTTTCAAAGGTTTGTTGTACACAGATGTGAAAGCGAATCGAAAACGAAGCGAAACTTTCCTTCAGTAACACGTTCGGATACAAACACTCCATCTTTAAGAATTATGCTTCGCCTCGGTTTCTTTTCGATTCGCATTTGCTCATGTTATGCGTCCAGCTTAAAAGTAAGTGTTACGTACATTTTCAGGCGGCGTCGTTAGTTGTTAACAACTGTAAGGTGACATATATCACGATAAAAAAACAATTCTCGAGTGTGTTTGCGATGTTTAATAACTAATAATTCTCGGATATTCAAAAAAATTTCATATTGATAACAAATTTGATACAGATTCAAAACAAATACATGACTAAATACTTCAACATAGACATCTATTAATGCTAGGCACATTTTTTAAGCTTAAAAGAACTTGGAATTAAAAATAAGTTACCCAAGTTATAGAGATTTGTTACAAATTAGCTAACTTGGTATGGTTTGGCTTTTAAGTCAGGGCTGTGTAAATTCGTTAAACCGTTAAATTATCATACAGTTTTTTGAAACAAATTCTCTGTTCAAAGAAAATCAGTGGGTTAACAAGAAAGTTTTTTAAAGTAAGAAAACTGAGTAGATATTTTGTCAAAATTACATTACCAGAGACAACGTTTTTTTACTCTAATTTTAACTGTGATACGTTCGTTTCGCTATTTTTGATAACTTCCTCGCCTACGACGTTATCTGATATTTGATATCAGTATAAAAATTTATCGACATTTGTATTCAACGTGAAAAATTTTCGGAATTTAAGTCAATCTTACTAATCTTACTAATATTATAAATGCGAAAGTTTAGATAGATGCATGGATGGATATCCATCCATCCGGATGGACGGATGGATGGATGTTTGTTAGAGCTTGTAGCCTAAACTGCTGAAGGGATCTCGATGAAATTTGTCATAGATGTACAGGATAGTCTGGAAGAACACATAGGCTACTTGCTTTTGTTTTTTTAATTCCGCGCAGACTGAGTCGCAAGCGAAAGCTAGTAAAATTATAAATGCGAAAGTTCAGAGGGATGGATGTTAATTAGAGTTTGTAGCTCAAACGGTTGAACGAATTTCGATGAAATTTGGCATAGATTTAGAGGACAGTCTGGAAAAACACATAGACTCACTTTTGTTATTTTTACTTTCACGCGGACCGAGTCGCGAGCAAAGCTAATTTAACAAACACAAACATGTCATTTCGGAACTTCTGCCGTAGCCTAAATGTACCTTAACATTTATATGCGAAATTTCTCCAGGCAAAAAGTATTTCTTACAATTATCTTTTATAATCATTAATAATACCATGAAAATAACTCACATAAGCTAATGGTTTATTATTTAATTCAATAAGAGCTTGTGGAATTTATGAGTGACATTAAGAATTTAATGATTTGCATAATTTATATAATTTTTCAGTACAGTCGAACTATTTTATCAAATTAAAGATAAAAAATGCTATTGGTTTATTGAAATTGAGTATGACATAATTTAGAGGCAATTTATTGGTACGATATGAAAGTAATAAAGTAATCAATACGACTAGATAAATATCAGGCCACTTTTATGTAAAAAAAGAAACAAATGCGGTCCATTTTTGGAGAAAAACCCCTCATCAAGTTTCCTGGAAATTTTGTCATCATACGATAGTACGTAATGTGAATATGACTCAAAGATGGAGTTGCCACTTTAGAGGTCAAACATAACCTTGCCAGGCTAAGATTAGGCAACCCGGTTACATGTTTTTAATGGTAAACCACTATGTAGTTTATTTCCGCACTTACACAAGATATACGATATAACGTGCACAAGTTTAAAACTAACACAAAACGATATAAAGCAAAGGAAACAGGAAGACGAAATGGTAAATGTTTAAAAACATGTGATATTTCATATAATGTAGATTTTATCAGGAAATCTGATGAGGGAGGGTCATCACTAGTGATGTACACTACCTATCTTTACTATTATAATAAAGCGTAAACACACTCCTTTGTTGCCTAAGATGTCTGCAATTACAGCATGTTTTTGAATGATTCTTTTCTAATAAAAAACCCTACAGTTACGTCACGCTTTAGGCTATTTTCTGGCTATTAAACTTAGGGGGTAAATATTTAGGATAAAAACCCTAACGTGGGAAAGAGACCATAAGTTGCTGCCAACATCAAGAAAACAAGATTGCTAAGGTTTGTCATGTCATGTCATTTTGATATTCGCTATTGATAATTTGACAAATGTAAACAATAAAATAAAATTTTCATAATTTCATGCGGATGAAGCCGCACGGGAACAGCTAGTATGATATACTCGTACATGACATTTCTCTATTATGATGCACTCTCGGACTTTCCTATAATTGGTTATTATCAATTGACTAATGACGAATCGTAAAGCCCGTGTTTATTCCACATTAGTCATGAATTTCCACTCCAATACAGTCGTTAAGTCCTTATAATTAATGTAATATTACCAAAGAGCAGATATGACTAATTTTCTGAAGCATTTACTACCTATATTGGAACTACCGGTTTTCAATAATTTTACCTATATTTGAGCAAGATTTTAGTTGTACTAATTTATTTCGATCTCAAACATTACACCGCAATTATTTATACTAACATTATAAAGAAGAAAGATTTGTATTTTTGTATGTATTGAAATAATTTGAAAACTACTGGGCTGATTTCAAAAATTATTTCACCATTAAAAAGCTATATCGGTAACATAGGCTATACTGTTCATTGTTTTTTTTAATTTTACGCAGACCAAGTCGCAAGGAACAGCTTGTAATATAATAATTTCATAACTTGAAGACAATCAACATTATTAATGCCATGGCAACAAACTTTTTAATAAAATTACTATTTCCATTACAATAAATAAGCCGTAGGTTTTCTGCGACTTGGCAAGGTATTTTATATTCCTGGGTTATTTTGTTGTTAATTTTAAACTAAAAGTCGTAAATTCTATGCATAAAAAGGAACGTTGTACGTCATTTGCAATGGTGGGAAAGTGTTCAGAATTTAATATCACGTCTTTTAAGGGTATCTACAATAATATTTGAAAGATAAAATCGTAGATATAAAAACATTCTTATCATATTAAATCAATAAATGTGATTAAGATATTTTAATGAATGTCGATCATGTTAACTCTTTCTTTGCGTACATTTTAAGTGCATACGACCTAACATAAATAACACATTTATCTTTATTATTCATCTAAATACTTTCTCTTTACCACGCCCTAATTGTGCAATTGATTATTTAATCAAAGTATGAAATAGTAGATAATTGTTACACGCTGTACCAATAAAGTTTAAATTCTGCGTATCACTATGACTCTCAGTCGCAAAGCAAATATTCTAAAATATATTACTAGTTGTGTATTTATAAAAGCATGCAATGATATTTTTGTATCAGATTTTCAAAGGAAACTTATCATTAACAGACCACAATAATATAAAGAAGAAAGTTTTTCTAGAGCCGTGTTTTAAATCATCTGATTATCCACTGAGTACGGGCTGCAATTGAATTGAAGGAATGTTCCAGACTGATTATGAACGAATAGTTTATAAAACGAACTTTTCTTTCAGGCACCACGTGGACGCAGGAAATGGTCTGGCTTATAGAAAACGATTTAGACTTCAAAGCAGCCAAAGAAAAGCCGCTCCATGAAAGATTTCCTATGTTGGAGTAAGTATATATTTATTTATATATACCATATGTCGCTTTAAAAACCTTGATGTTCTATTTAACAAGACGAACAACTTTTCTAATTAAAAAGTCTTCAAAGAAAATGGTATTTCGACTTTCACTGAAGGATATCTGCCATAGACGGGCATATTATAGGCTACTTTTTATCTTAATATTACGTGGAAGAAGTCGCGGGCAACATCCTCGAATTAAACAAAAAAGTTATTTACCTAAACTAAATTCCTAACATTTTAAATTTCAGAGTAACCGCACATATACCTCAAGTTGCGTTCGAATTAATCAAAGCAAACTTCATGAACTTAGCATACTTCCAAGGTTTGAACCATGCTGTTAGGAAGCCCAGTTGGAAGGCCATAGCTGAAGCACCATCACCGAGGTTCATCAAGACCCATCTGCCACTCTCTATGTTACCACCGAAGTTGCTCAGCACGGCTAAAGTTATTTACGTCGCCAGAGATCCGAGAGATGTCGCTGTATCATATTATTATTTACACAAAATGGTTGCCAAAAGTCTATTGAGAGCAACCTTTCACACGTTTTGGGAAGCATTCAGAAGAGACTTGTGTAAGTGTTTTTATATCTTGTAGATATTGTTTATAGCAATCATTCACGATATTAGAAGGATTTCTATCAACATTTAAAAGCGAATATTACTAGCTGCATTTATTTCTTTTAAAAGTTTAAAATCAAGTGGACTAATTGTTAATTGTTTTGTTTAATATTTCCAGTACCATGGACACCGATCGTAGCTCATACAAACGAGGCCTGGGAGAAGAGACACAATCCGAATCTCCATTTTATGTTCTACGAAGATATGATTAAGGTACTTATTTCTGTAATTGTTAATTTGAGGCCATTGAACATTAAACAGAGTATCTATATCTATACTACTTCTATACTATTATAATAAAGCGTAAACACACTTCTTTGTTGCCCAAGATGTCAGCAATTACAGTATATTATTGAATAATTATTTTTTTTAATAAAAAGCCCTACACTTACGTCACGCTTACGTGGGAAAGAGACCATAAGTTGCTGCCAACATCAAGGAAGCAAGTTTGCCATGGTTTGCTTACGTCATGTCATTTTGACATTTGCTATTGATAATTTGCCAAATGTAAACCATAAAAACAAATGTCATAATTTCATGCGGATGAAGCCGCACGGGAACAGCTAGTTTATTATATTACCTCGATTGATTTGTAATCCAGTGAAATTAATTAAGTGAATTAATGTTCTAGGATCTACCTAAAGAAATCCGTGCGGTATGCAAGTTCCTCAATAGAAAATATCCAGCAGACAAAATAGAAAATTTAGCGGAGTATTTAAGTTTCGACAGCCTGCGAAAAAATAAGAACGTGAACAACACGGCCGGGGATAATAGCGAAGTACAATTCCTTAGAAAAGGTAACTAATTATACCGTGTATATACTAATATTACAAAAAAGAAAGATTTTTATTTTTGTTTGTATTGAAATTAAAAAACTACTGGACTGATTTCAAAAATTCTAACATAGGCTGTTTTCATCTATACTAGTTAATATAATAAAGCATAAACACATACTTCTTTATTGCCTAAGATGTCAGCATATTTTTGAATGATTCTTTTTTTTTAATAAAAAGCACTACACTTACGTCACGCTTTAGGTTATATATATCCACGCCATTAAACTTAGGGGGTAAATATTTTGGATAGAAACCATAATGTGGGAAAGAGACTATAATTTGCTGCCAATATTAAGGAAGCAAGATTGCCAAAGTTTGTCATGTTATGTCATTTTGACATTTGTTAAATGTTAACAATAAAATAAAATTTTCATTTCATTCAAATAACATGCGGATGAAGCCGCACGGGAACAGCTAGTCATTTTATAACTTGCTTTAACTTTCCGCGCTACGATATTTTTGATAATGTAGCGATAGTAATCTTATCATTCATAAATAATTTCGTTAACAGTAGGGAATCCCAGTTGCCAAATGTACTTACATTTAAGATATGTATATTTAGGAGAACAGTGGTAGAGCCCGCTTTAACATCTTCGCACGAATGGGCCGGCTCGCCCGGTGCAATACCACGACCACACAGAAAACAGGCGTGAAGT